ATCTATAGTGAAGAGCAGCACCATGCATGACGGACAACACCATCACTTATTTAAGTATGGTACTCCTGTTTTGAATATCTGTATTATTTAACAAAGTTGAAAGAACCAAACGTGGAACTAGTGTGTCATGAATCATCCTTTCTCTGCCGGCATACAGAGAAGTTAAGTAGTTGCGTTACAGGGTTGTTTCTTTTAAAAAGAAAAAAATAGTGGTGTGATTATGGTCATTAATTTATTTATTAAAATTATTAAAATTATGTTTAATTTAATTAATATTTTTAATTTTTTTAAATAGATGATTATAATATTTAAAAATATTACTTTAAAAATTAATTTTAATTTATTAAATAATATTTATTAATTATTTTTAATTATTGAATTAAATAAAATTATTATTTTTAGTACAATTCTAATTTCATTAACAAATAAATTATTGTGGTTATAACCACGGCCAAGAATGTTGGGAGGAACTTGGGCAAAGGGTGAAACAGGACTGTTGTTGTCTACACAAACTGACAAAAGTTCATAGGATCACATCTGTACCGATGTGATGTGGCTCCAGTTGCCTCTATTTTTTTAAAAAAGATGGAATTTGTATGAACGTTCTTGTTGTAGCTTTTCTAAATCCTTTTGGCAAGAAACACATGGAGAAAAGAAAGAAAATTATTGGGAATCTTTTGACTTGATGCGATTAAGCAATTTTTAAATGATTGGTGTTAACACTAAAAAATAGAATAGATGGTGTGGAACCAAGATCTTTATTGATAGAGAGAGTTTACAATGAAGAGAAAATGATGATGGAAAAATTGATGTTTGGGGTATTCTTATTTTAATAGGATTTATCCTAATCAACTTTGATAATACTATCTATAAAATGTCTCCACGTGCCTGATTCTCATGAGACTTGATTTAGGGTATAACATGTGCCCTCAAATAAAAAAGTTTGAGGGTAGTGAAAACTTCAACGGGTGTTTGTCTTTCGTATTGCTCTGCTGATCTTGGTTTTGAATTCTGCTCGCAGGTTCCCACTTTGTCAACCGTGACTGCCTCGTTAATAACCTTAACTAGAAAAAACCCCATGGAATAAAAAGTCTAGCTTAAGGAAAAAAGAGTGCAACACAGGTTTTTCCTTTATGATTCCTGACACAATTTCCTCCTTAAAAAACTTTTGTTGAAATTAATTGTTCTGCAGATTTGTGCTGATTTGTTTAGGTCCTTTCTTGATTTTTCCATATCTCCACAGTTGCATTTCCTAGATTTTCTACTTCTTGGCAACCTTTTTTTATGCACGTGGGCCCCATTGTATGGTTTAGTTGGTATGGGAAGTCCTTCCAAGTTTAAACCCCTATTTCCTTGGGATTTTATGCAATTTATCCTTTTGGCTTTCAAATGGAGCTTTCTTGGGTTTCTCAATTCTTCTTTTTCTTTTTTGTTTGACTTCCTTTTTCATTTCGGTTTCCTTTTGTTTTCTTTCTTTATTTTTTTCTTTTTGCTCTTTCTTTTTGCTTTTTCGATTTCTTCTTTTTGCAAATAGGCGTTTCTAATTTGGTGCTGGGTCGGTTGCTTTTTTGGTTTCTTCTTTCTGCGGGTAGACCCTTTACGACTTCATGTTGCGTTGGTTGTGCCTACCATGGCTAATGATCCTTCTACTTCTAGTTTTTTGTCGATTTTGGCTTCTGCTGATGGCGTGGGTACTCCACCTTCTTCTTCTTTGTCTAAGTTTTTTGATGTTTTCTACCTTCCCCATAATGCAGATGGGAAGTTTGTTGTGAAAGGTGTTTCACGCCATGTGGAGAAGGATCCTGTGATTCCTTCTATTCCTACAGAGGTTCCTTTGGTTTCTTCTTCAAAGGGTGGAAAAGTTGTTCTCCCTCTAGGCTCAATGAAGGTGTTCTGCGATCTTGATAAGGTGTCTTGGGTTACCAGTAGTTGTGATGTGGATGAGATTAGGGAGATTTATAAAGAGAACTTGATAGATCCGCAGGTTTTTCCTCCTCAACATCCCATGCATCGTGCGGCATTTCAATGCCTTCCTCCTGACATGTGTGTCTACAAGGATCAATTTGCATGTGGGTTGCATTTTCCTTTGCATCTTTTTTTTCTTGAAATCTGTGATGAATTCTCTATTAGCCTTCCCCAATTGGCTCCTCGTGCTATTGCTTATATTGTTGCCTTTATTGTGAGATGTTTCCTTATATTCTGAAATTTACATTAACCTCTATAGCACATCTTGCATAGCTTTTGTCAGGGTACACCAAAAACTTGCTCACCGCTTTTGCTTGTGTAACTTCTAGTTAGGTATTTATGTACCCCCAAACTTACTCATAGCTTTTGCTTGTGTAACTTCTACTTAGGTATTTAATGTACACCCAAACTTGCTCATAGCTTTTGCTTGTGTAACTTCTACTTAGGTATTTAATGTACACCCAAACTTGCTCATAGCTTTTGCTTGTGTAACTTCTACTTTGGTATTTAATGTATACCCAAACTTGCTCACAGCTTTTTGCTTGTGTAACTTTTGCTTGGGTATTTAATGTACGCCCAAAGTTGCTCACAGCTTTTGCTTGTGTAACTTCTGTTTGGTTATTTATGGACACCCAAACTTGCTCACAACTTTTGCTTGTGTAACTTCTACTTGGGTATTTAATGTACACCTAAACTTGCTCACAGCTTTTCCTTGTGTAATTTCTGCTTGGGTATTTATGTATACCCAAACTTACTCACAGCTTTTGCTTGTGTAACTTTTGCCTGGGTATTTAATGTACACCCAAACTTGCTCACAGCTTTTTGCTTGTGTAACTTCTGCTTGGGTATTTAATGTACACCCAAATTTGCTCACAGCTTTTGCTTGCGTAACTTTTGTTTGGATATTTATGTACATCCAAACTTGCTCGCAACTTTTACTTTTTGCTCGGGTATTTATGTACATCCAAACTTGCTCGCAGCTTGTTCCTTCGCTTGCGTTACTTTTGCTTGGATATTTATGTACATCCAAACTTCCTTGTAGCTTTTGCTTTTTACTTGGGTATTTATGTACACCCAAACTTGCTCGCAGCTTTTTGCTTGCATATTATATCATCTTAAGATTTTCTCCTGCGCAGGTTTAGAGTAGAAACAAGCTATTTAGATTTTGCTATCTTAATTACTTTAGAGACATGAGAAAATTGTTAGTGCTTTCAAGATCATAATTGATAAATTTATGAAAATAATTATTTAAAT